AAAAAAAAAAAAAAAAAAAAGAAAGAAAGAAAGAAAGAAAGAATGAAAAAGAGACTCATAAAGCAAATTTAAAATTGAACTATCAATTTTAAATGGCATGTCCAGAATGAGTACTAAAGCTGGACCTTGGTCATGCTCATACATTGCTGGTAGGGATTACAAACTGATACAAGTCATAGAGTTATGCATGCCTAAAATCCCAGCTACTGGAGAGAACGAGGCAGGAAGACTGAAAGTTCTGGGTCAGCCTGAGCAGCATTCCAAGACATGTTTCAAAAAAAAAGAAAAAGTACAAATTGTTATGACCTAACAAGAGGCATCTTCATGAAGTATATTAAACCCTTATAAATATTCAAAATGTTTGATTATCACATTTCTAGCATTTATGAGGAAATAATTAAGAATGTTCACCTCCAGACTGCTTATAATAGAGGAAAGGTGGAAATAAAATATGTAGAGTACTGGCTTAGAACATTACAGGCTGGTTTAGAACATCCATTAAATGGAAAATTACACAATTATTTTTAAAAGCCACAGTAAAAGCATTACAGGTTTCTTGGGGGAGGGATATAATCAGTTAAATGAAAGGCCCAAAACCATTCACATATATAACCATAGTTTTGCAAAAACTTCAAATTTGCATTAATAAGTAGACTAGATGTGCATAGAAAAATATCTAGAGATATTAATCTATCTTAAATAGAGAAATATCTGGTAGAATAATACTTACTTTCTTCTTTTTGCTTAACAGGATTGTATTTTTTCTGCAACAAATGTAACACCAAAGAAGATAAAACTACAACAGATATAACTAGATACACATTTAAGGGGCCAGGAAATTAGCTCAGTGGTTCCACTGCCTGCCTTGTGAGGGCAAGGTCCCGGGTTCGATCCCCAGTATCAAAAAATAAACAAAATAAACATTTAAGACTATAAAAACCACAGAATTCAAAGATAAATAACAAATGGGAGTGTAACTCAGTGTTAAGCATGTGGTTAGTATTTGCAAAGCCCTGGGTTCAATCCCTAGTGCCCAAAAGAAAAAAAAAGGCTTAAGTTAATATCAAAACCTTAACCTTACAGATTAAAATAAAAAGGACCCCAGAAAGTTTAAGAAGCAATATAAAAACAATCAAAAAATGGTTTTTATAATAGATTTTTTCATTAGTTATATATTTTTAAAAAACAATAAATCAATGAGAAAAAGTATAATCTCATGTAATCAAAATAAGCTATCCCTTTTAATCTAAAAACTCAAATATTTTTAATTATATCAGGCATTTCTAACATTTCTCATGAGATTTTTTAAGGTAGGAAAATAATCATGTAAAAAACATTAAGCAAGTTTTAAAACTTGCTATACTTTAAAACAATAATTTCCCTTCTAGAAATCTAAGAAAGTTTCAAAAATGCAGAAAAGGATAGAAGTATCAACATACCCAAAATAATATTTTTTTCCAAAGTCAATAGAAACTTGAGATGACTTGCATGTTTTCCAATGAAATAATTTTTAATTAAAGTATGGTGTAGAGGGGGCAGGGATTTGGCTCAGTAGTTCTACCGCCTGCCTCCCAAGCACAAGGTCTCAAGTTCGAGGCCCGGTCCAAAGAAAAAGAAAGGAAGATTAGACAGAATGAAAATAATCCAATCTTGGACCTCCTCTTCCTTCTAATAAACTATGGTGCAGGGCTGGGGTGTAGATCAATGATAGAACAGTTGCCTACCATCACAAGACCCTAAGTATGACACCCAGCACAAGAAAAAAAAATTATGGTACATATTTACAATATCACATGGTCATTAAAATTTGTCCAGGATTGGAGGGAGAAGCTTGCTTGTGATTGAACTCAGAGGCTTGTGCAAGCTAAGCACACACTCTACCACAGAGCTATACCAGCTATCCTTCTAGAAATTTTAATGGCATGGGGAAGCACTCATGATAAAATATATGTATAGATCACCTGGCTGCCTTCAGCCTGAAGCATCTCTTGCTTCTCTTCTGGAGTTCTTTTCATTTCAAACCTTTGAATAAATTCACAATCTTCAGCAGAAATCATCTGCCCTCTAGAATGTAAGAATAAGTTATTTGGTTAGTAAGAGTTGAATAGTCACTGGGAGAAAATGAAAGAGGAATCTAGCCTTTCTTCTCTCTCCTTAGTAGTGTTCAATTGAAATTATAGGACATCAATGTTTTGGACAAGGCTTCTGCACTGGGTCCCACAAAAACTAACTAAAAACCTAAACAGAGCTTCTTATACTACAGAGCCACATCACCAAACTGAAATCAAGTTATTATGTGGCTTTAAAAAATCAAGTCAGATAACAGCCAAATTTCCCAAACAGACCAGTTCCAATGGGCATGATGAGGCTCCCTGTGCCTTAATCCTTAAGAAAAAAGTAACAAAGTAACCTGATGTTAATCAGTTATTTCTCTATTGTTCAGCCTCCCTACTTTAGGAGTAAGCTTGAAATGACTCATAAGATTTTTGTGGTCCTTTGTTTCTGTTTTCTTCAGCCTTTGTCTATAAAACCAGTCTCCTCTGCTCAGCCCATATTTTGTTTTATAGAATGAAGAGTTAGTAGCCAGATTCTTGTATCAGAGACACAGCCAAATTAGATCTTTAAATTTGTTATAATTTTTGTCTTTTAACACAATGCCTCTTGTCACAAGAGTTAACATAAGGGTTACATTCAACAGGAATTAACATTCAACAGACACATGTTCAAAGTTTAGCTCTACCACTTAATGATGGTTTGACCTTTGTACAGCCTGAATTAATTTACCTGCAAAATGGGAACAATAAACATTTGCTTCCAAAGGACTGTAATGAGGATGAAATTAAATAATTCATATAAAATGGTTAACATGGCACCTGGTCCACAATAATCAGTCAATGAAATGTCACCTCTTAGCATTATCCAAAGTCTCACTTATGTCCTCTCCTAAGCCAAACAATTTACTTAGCGTTCTAAATCATCACAAACCAAAACTACTTTACAGTGAACTTCTACAGTCAGGTCTTCCAACATATTTTGTCACTCCTGATTCAGAATAATGTCATCCTCCCTTCTCTGAAAAGCTCTATTATGATCCCTATCCCTTGCTATCCTGTCTTCCTCCCCAGTCCTCAGGTATCCTTGCATCACTGGGTTTTGATTCTTCGAGACTTCTTTTCATGGGTCAACTCCTAGAAACTTGCTTTTCTTTCCCAAACTCTTTGCTTTGGGGAGATTCAAATCAACAGTTTTATCTTCCCTCTCTCCCATATCATCATTTCTTCTACCTCCACGTAAAAACACATTTTCAAAAATGTAGATCATCACCACTGCATCTGTCACCTTGAGTTTCAAACCTGACTTGATCTCACAACTTCACTTATCAAGCAACACATACCCCATCCTAATTTTCAAATGCAGATTTTTGTTAAAAGACATATCCACAAAACAGCCTTGCTACCCACCCTCTGTACCACTCTGGGTACATCATCCTGGCCTAAAGGAGACCAAAAGGAACCACAACAAACTGCCTGAGACTCCCCAAACAATGCACATTCTTCCAAGCTTCAGCTCCTGCCTAGGGCTCCTTTTACTATTTCCCCTAGCTCCTCTGCTTGGATGATCCCTATAGTATTTTCATGTGTTCTGTGAAAACCTCCCCAGTACTCCCAGGAAATTATTTGCTCCTCCCTTGTTATAGCATTCTTTTTGGTACATATATTTCATATTTAAAAATTGTAATTACACAATTCGTTATTTAATTTGTTTAAAGTTTTGTTTCCTCATCAGACTTTAAACTCAAGCAAGAGTGGTACATTATGAATTTTGTACCCTCAAGATATAGTTTTACCGGATTCCAGCTTGACTGAAACATAGCCATGCCTATTCATTTCTGTATTGCCTAATTAAGAAAAAGGTTAATCAAATATAAACGCAGTATTTTTATAACACGTTAATATCTGTCAAAGCTTGGTACTCAAATACTCTGAAACTCAGTGAATTTGGAACATGTATTTTTATTAGTATATGTTTTCAGTACATAATGATCACATTTATTATGGGGTATTGGTACATGTATATTACACATCTTAATTTTTTTTTATCCCCTACCCCTCCTATCCTTCCCTGCTCCTTCTAATTCTTGGTTTCTTTCCAATTTGCAAATGCTTTGTCTCCATTTATTTTTCTTCACTTCTTTTGTTCCATCTCCTTTCCCTCTCCTCCCCCTACCCATTGTTACCCTTCCCATTTAAAAAAGATCCCCCTACTTTCTATTATCTATCTTTATTTTGCTCCTTATTTGTATTTTGGGTTTCTCATATAAGATGAACCGTATGATTTTTAAAGTTGTATACCTGATTTATTTCACAAAACACTTGTGGTCTCAAGGTGTATCCATTTACCTACAATTTTCATGGTATTCATTTTGTTTAGTCCTTGATGTGTAAGCTACAAGTTGTTGGTGAGAATTACCTTGTGACTCACTACCTTTCCAGTCAAACAATTTGTTTAGTATTCATTTTTGGTACTCCTCATGCCTCCCAGAACCAACTAATGATGGGTACTGAGGTACCATTATATTGGCTTTTCGACACTGGAAAATTCTTCCACGGGTTTTATCATATCAGTGTATGTGTGATACAAGATTTACTCATTATGTCATGTCCAGCCCCAGTAATCTATAAATTCTTTCAAGGAAGGCACATTGCACATCCACCAGTTCACACATCAAAAGGCTCAACAGCAGGCACACAGTTAACATTTTGTGAGCATTTGCACATAGACACATAGATTGGCAGGACTCTCTAAAAGAAACCTGTAAAATGGACAACATAATAAAGAATGAGGGAAAAGAGAGAACACAATGTGTATAGTACAAGGTCATGAAACTAGAGAAACAGAAGAGAAAAATTGAAAACTACAATGTCACTAGAACGATCCAAATATAAACACTAGAAAAAATTCTGCTAGACATCTAGCGTTTTATGATCAACAATATTATTCTACTTAGGTTATAAACAGATACAAACTTTATAAATATAAAACTCCTTGTTTAGTTTAAACACTCTGTTAGAAGTAAGAAATCAGTAAACAGACTTGGAATCCTAACTTTGCGATCAATTTAAACAATTACACAGATACCAATGAACAAGGTAAACATCAATAAGCACCCCTCCTACTCTTTCTGCCCTTCAGGCACTGGTCCCACAATTATCCGGGTCTTTCAAGAGGGAATCTGAAAGACATTCCTAGACTTTGTCACCGCTATATATCAAATCAATCACTAAGTCTTTCTCAAACCTAACCAACTCAGACTATTCTAACAACCTTCACTACTGCTCCTGACTTTCCCTACCTCTCAGTCTGTTACCCACAAATCCACCCTTTACACTGTCAGCAAAACAATCCAACCGAGATAAATCTGATCATATAATAAGAACTTCAACAGCTATAACAGTAGTTTTGTTCCTTTTTTAACCCTAGTTCTGAGGATTGAACCTAGGGTGTGTTGGTTGATTGACTGTGTCAACTTGAGTAAGAGAAGCTCAACTAAATTGGCCCAAGGGTGGCTTGTTGCCTGGATGGTATTGTATAAAAGAGAAATGAAGAATGCATCTGCTTCTGTTTCTTAAGAGGAACTCCAGTCTTCACCTTCAGTTTGGACATCATCTCCTAGATTCCAAGGCAGACTCTTCAGCATTCCATCACAGACCCATCTGCCTCCTGATAGAGACTCGCACAGGACATTGCAGTGAGCTCTTCAACTGAATCCTTCAGTCTCCAGTGTGTACACAGACCCTCTGCACTCTTCCACATCCCACTCTGTGGGTGGCCATTGCAAGCCAATCTTGTAAATTCTTATATATGTGTATATTTTGTGCTGTATCTGTTTCTCTAGTAAACACTGACTGACACACAGGGGCTCCGGCATGCTAGACAAGCACTCTAGCACTTAGCTACATCCTCAGAGCTTTTGTAAATTTTACTTTGAGACACAGTCTCACTAAGTTACCCAGGCTGGTCTCAAAATTGCAACCCTCCTACTCAGCCTCCCCAGTAGCTGGTATTACAGCCATACAACACCACATCTGGCTACAGCAATGCTTTTTAAACTGTGCTCCTTGAAACCCTAATGAAAATGGTGATGCCTTTGCTCACAATTTCTTATACTTGGAAGGCTGCTCTTAACTGCCACATGTCTGAATACCACGCATCCTTAAAAACTCAGAGACCATCCCCTTCAGGAAAACTTCCTGAGACTAGGAAACACTGTACTTTTTCTGTGTTCTCATAACACCCCAGGCAACTATTTTCATAGTTAGCACACTAAATTAAAATGACTACTTATATAGTATGAGTTACATTATGGATAGTATTCTACATCTTTTCTGAAGCCATAACACCCAAAAAAAGCCTTAAAATTATGAATAGTCAATAAACATTTGATGAGGGACTAAACTGAGACTGAAAATCATTTTTGTACACCGTAGATTCCCTCCTACAAAAAACAAACTGCTAAATATAAAACTACAGATTCCTCGATTTGTTCTTCAAATGCATTTGCAAATTAAATTGATTTCTTTAATGATTCACTCATAAAAATGGCAAAACAGATATGAAATCAAGTTAATATGATAAAAGATGGCCCCAACCCCATCTAGGCCTCCCAACCACAAGTGACCTGTGAGGAACAGAGTAGGGCAGGCACCTAAAGCCCCCACTCCCTGCCTCCTGGTTGGGCCTGTGCCTGGATCCACACTGCGGAGGCACAGAGGGTCTTAAACACCATTGTCCTGAGCTCCAGAAGACAGAGCAGAAGTGAAGAACAGTAAGAGGCCCTTCTCCTTCTAAGTGCCCATCCCCAAGGGTAAAGTTGCTATATTAACAATTTATTCATTATAAACATATTTTGGGCTAGTCCTTGATTTTGTTTTATTTCACATGGTTGAAGGTGATAAATTAACAACTACCACAAATTGTCATTTTCTAAGATGTGCTTGACTCTATTGTTGTTACTGATTGTATCACTTAAGCTACTGTTGTGATTGATCTAATCAGTTATCCAT